CTCAGCAACAGCTTGAAGACATCGGGTGGTGCAGTTGGGTAGGCCTTGTGTGCCATACTTTTCAAATACTGTGCCAGCTCTTTAGCACCCTTTAGCTTCCCTTTAGCACTCTCGTCATAAACTTAGCTGTGTAGACTTCGACTGATTTTGAGTTCTATACCTGATTTCCAGAGCGTGTCATCTGCTGAAAACTGTCCAAGTATTTCCAGTGGTTGTTCCTTCAAGCTTGTTGCCAGGTACACTGCTTTCTGCTCCTCTGTCCTTCTATTCATTTCTGCCAGTAGCTCTATATGCTTCCCATGGTGCCTTCCATTGAATTTCTGTGGCTTCCTTCATACTAAATCACCCCTATTGCTGACAGTCATATCTGAAATGTGACTTCTGGCAGGACTGAAGATGTCTGCATTAGGGTTTAGTAGCGGGTTTTGGAAGGGGCTTCCTGTTGTCTGGGGCTGATTAGAACCATGGCTAATATATCCTCCCTGTGTAAAAGTCAGTAAATCGTCCTTTAACGTATTTAATTCACTTTAAAATTTACTAATCTTCTCCATTTGTACTTCTTGTTTCCTTTCTTGTTCCAGTTGCCACAGGTGCTGGTTTTTTTGCTACTGCTGTAATCTCTCTTCTTGTTTCTTTTCTTTCTTTCTCCTCCAACCACTGCTGTAGTCTCTCTTCTTGTTTATTTTCTCGTTCTTCTTGTTTCTTTTCTTTTTCCTCCAACAACTGCTGTAATCTCATTTTGTTTATTTTGCTGTTCGAGCTGCCTCTGTTGCAGGTTTTCTTGCCATTGCTATTGTCTCTCTTCTTCTTTCTTTTCTCATTCTTCTTGTTTCATTTCTTTTTCCTCCAACTGCTGTAGTCTCTTTTCTTGTTTATTTTCTTGTTCTTCTTGTTTCTTTTACTGTTCTTGTATTGCTGCCATCAAATCTGCTAAATTGTAGTTTGATTTGCCACTTCTTGTTTTCATCTTCTTTTCTTTTTCTTTCCTTTTTCGTCCCACTCTCTGACACCAATTTGTTGCGTATCTACTTGTTTGTTAATTTCCGGTAGAAATTCTTTCTGAGGAACTTCAACGATACAAGTCCTTTTTTGATTAAACCAGTTTATTCTTTCTCGATATAAACTTTTAGTACACAGTAATTCTACAGCCAGAACGTGTCTCGTCACTTTAAACTTAACAACTTTTATAATATACACTATAAATCACAGCGATTCACAATGTCGATAATTTCACTCTCTACAAGTGCAAAACACACACTAGCTCGAAACAGAATCGTAAATTACCAATAACTCACGTGACTACTGTTCGCTTAACCATACATTCTTTTCTGCTGGCTTTTCTTGCCAGGCTTATATACTAACAAAGAGGCTTCACCAAAGTTTCGAGTTCCTTGATAATTCTAGAAACTCAGTCATGCATGCACTAGCAGTGTCACGTGACTTCCACTGTCGTAACAATATGATGAATATAGTGTAGTTGGAAAACTATTATTATTCTTTTCTAATTTTTAAAAATCTCTAATGGACTAGATTAAAAATGTAATAGGCCTAATACTAATGTCTTATAATGAATACAATAGAGAATCTTCAATAGCCATGACATTTAGAAATTTTTAAGGCAAGATTAGAGTATATTAATCTACCAGACCTTTTTTCCATTTTAACATGATGTACATGATTTAATATTATTACTAATCAGGATCTCTACCAGCCTACCCTCAAATTAAAATTATTTTAGGCAGGATTAGAGTAAATTAATCTATGAGATCTTGAGCGTGGTGAAATACATTGATCAAAAGGGTTGACCTTCTGAGTAAAAAGCTAAAATTAGATCTCAAAGTGTTCAATGGATAACGGAGCTATGAGCTTAAAGTTTGTACTTGAGAAAAAACCTCAAAGCCATTCTATGAGTTGCTATGCTGCAGCTAATAATTGCTTTCTTTATAACCCTACCCTTAACAATATTATTAAGCACATGTGTGTTGCATGTTTTATCATAAACTCCATTATATTGTTTATGTTTAAATCTATTCTTTCTAAACTCCTGATTATGTAGAAAATAAAACTATTTGCATAATAATTACCTCCACCACCAAAAGGGTATGGGGGTTATGTTTTCACCCTATGTGTGTGTGTTTGTCAAGAAAATTTCTCAAAAAGGACAAAATGGATTTAGACAAAAGTTGGTATACACTTGGACTATGACTCAACTTAGAAGTGTTTAGTTTTGTAGGGTCAAAGTCACAGCAAGATCTTGAAAATCCAAACATTCCCAGTCTGTTAATATGGGGACCGATTTTTCACACTATTTTTGATCAATAACTTGGTCAAAAATGATCTGATTTTGATTAATCTTGGTGGACATATGTAGAATGTTATTCCCCATTGTCTTGCCAAAAATGGTCCATGTTTATTGATAACGATGGACATACGGACACATTTTGTCCGTTTTTGAGAGCCGAGTATGATCAATGCTGAGTGCCCCTTTAGTTAATGTTGTTTTTGTAGTTAGGATGTTGTGTGACTTGTTGCGAATTAAACATCTGGCATTTATACTTCATGACAACAATTGTTCAGTAGGAATCAATGAAAGAACAGTTTAAAATAGAGGTCTAATGCATTCTTTGATTTGCCCCACTCTCTACTGTGAACTGCAGTTTCTCCTATTCAAGGCTCATTAACACAGCTTTGATCAGCAAACTAGAAGACATACAGTTAGATCTCTTATAATGGTGACATATCTCCAACAAATGTGAGGTTTTTGAGCCCTTTTTAATGCACCATATAGTAACCTAAGTTAATTTAGGTGTGTGAATATTATTATGGCACTCTGCCTAATTTATTATTCAATATTATACAACAGACCAGCTGGTAAATAATTATATTACCAAAGTTAAAACTGAACATCTAATTTGTGAAGTAGAGGCCTAATGCTTTCGTTGATTCTCTGCACCCCGTATTCCTTTGGTTTGCTGACCCATTCAAACCCAAGCTGTGCTGATGATAAACCTTAAACAGGTGAAACTGCAGTCCACAGCAGAGGGTGCGGTGTATCAAAATAAATCGGTAAATTATAATATTGAATAATAAATTAGGCACAATGCCATATTATTCACACACTTAAATTATCTTAGGTTACTATATGGTGCACTATATTGTGGATGTTTTGTCAGCAGGTCTAATTCCGTGTATGAAGGATCTTATATGTACAGTTAGAATTTACAGTTTAGTTCTTTGTAAGTATCAGTAATCTGGCCATCTAGTGAAGGAATAGAACTTGAATAAATTTGGAAATATTTCTGATAACTTGATTGATAGGTAAGTTTGTAGTCACGCCAGGTCAAAAATTTCAGTACGATTGATGTAAATGAACTTTATACACAGTTTTTAAGCACATGCGAAAATACTACGACACTTTTGAAGAGTACTAACACCGTATGTCTCAAGTCAGGTTATTATGTATATTTAAAGTCAGAACTTGTGCCTGTCTGCAGTAGGGTACATTTCAAATGCACATCTATTATGATTAAAATTAAATGTTTGATGTCGAGCCCTTTCAGTTTCATCAAAAAGAAAATTCAAACATCCGCTGTGTGTCCCTTTTCAATTTATGTCAGTCCTGTGAATACATAGTTTTTTGTTTTTGTATTTTATCCACTTGATTTATTTTGTGTCCAGGATGCAAGTATTTGCGTTAACGTGATCACTGGTATATAGATTATATATCACGGTTGTATAAGCTACAGATACATATTTATACTGTAGGAAACATTTTTAATTGTGAGTTACTGTACATCAGGTAACATTATCTTGTATTTTTGGTGAATAGTAAAACCAAAAAAGGATGACAAACTATGGTTTGATTTCATAACTTTTTACTTTATTTTTCATGTAGAAAGTGATTGAAGTTTTTAGAAAAGATTCAAGAAAACTGCCTATTGCTGACACAGACATTGATTGGGAAGAAACTCTATACTTAAATCTTATTTTACATCAGGTGAGTCAAATAGTTCATTATTAATGAAAAGTTATAGATCCAGTACTTAAAAACATATAACAAAGATATATAAATTCAGTAGAAACCTTTAAATTTTGTTTTATGTCATAAATTACGTTAACCAGTTCATTGTATATGAAAAAACTAGGATTTCGTTTAGAATGCAAAATTACCCCTTGTAGATAAATGCCTATTTCTGGTACACAAATAACAGCATTGTCGTATTATGCAATTTGAGGCTCTGGAAGAGAAGAAAAGATTGTCATATTTTACTTTAGTTCTAATTTTCATATTCTGTTATTACCTCATTTGCCATTGCTCTTGTTGTCAGCTGTTACTAAACAGTCTTAACTACTTTTGAGTATTTAGTTGTCAACTAATTAGGTACCTCTCTGAGTGTTATCATTTATTACTCTATTATACCCAGTTCTAGGTATAAATTCTTAACTAATTATCCACATTTTTTATGTTAGCAACTATTGTCTAATTAGATGCAACTCTTGTTTTCATTTATTAACTATCTCAGTGCTCCTGTGAATAGTGTTTGTTACTATAATTAGATTCTGTTCTGAGTGTTATCAGTTATGATAGGTATATATACATATGTAAAGTTTACTTTATTTTTTACTACTTTTGTGGAAATTTAGAAGCACAAGAAATATTAGCTGTGAATTATGTATTGAATACTGAAAGCCTTACCATATTGAGTTTGACTGTCAACAAAACATAACTCAAATTTCTGAATGTTCTTTATGCATCACAGAACATGTGTCCCTTACCTATAATTCTCCACTCTTCTGCATGAGTTATTGTGAAGCACCAGGGGATCTCATGTAAGCTCTGCTTTTCTACCAGAATGTAGATTTTTCTTTGTGATAGTTAAGCTGTTAACTATGCTACAACGTTTTTCCACCATTATCGGAATTTCTTTAAGTTAGTTGGGGACCTTATTTAAGCAAATTGCCCATTGGGTGCAGGGTAAACTTTTAGCTGCTTTGTCAGCCTTAATTGTTCAGTGTTTTCATGCCATTGTATACTACAATTCTTGGGGAATATCACGATCATGTGGATGTTTAATTTGTGTAACACTCAATGTTCTCTTTCATTTTTAATGAAGTTTGAGTATTTGGTCAGGCTTAAATTGCCTTCACAGTCAGCAAAGCTGGATTTGTCTGCTACAGTGCTAGCCATAATCCTGATGGTTGATCTCATTTCTTTTTCTCTCAAGTATATTTGCGATATTGAACCTATTTTTTTTTACACCTGAGAGCACTTGTGTTTTGTGAGATGATTTAAGTACATGAATCTTTTATTTTGCCCACATTCTTTTGATATTTGGGTTGCAGATATTTTTCTAAACTAGTTTTGTATTGATACATTTCATATTCCCTTTCTACTCTTTCTTCTCAAGTTTTGAACCTCAATTTAGCTTTTGTATGAGAGACTTCCACATGGGTTTTTTACTTTGACGTATCGTAAGTATTCTGCACTGCATGCTATTATTCGTCTTCTTTAGAAACATTCTTTTTTTGTACCATTATTAATTACTCTCTTTTGATTATTTTTTAGTCAAGATCACACATCTACTTGATGCCTTCATTACCAATGGGTCTCACTGGTAATGCTTTTATTACCATGTGTTCTTATATATATATATATACATATATATTAACAAAAACAAATCCTTGCTTCGTTTTAATTTTCTTCTTTGCATGTATTTTAGTTTAACTTGTTCCTCTTTCATAGGAACCTTGATGGCAAGTGTGTATTAGGGTTTTAGCATCTGGTCATTAGTCTCATCCAGGTTCCAGTGTGCAATGTTCTTAGATGCTCATTACATTTACTCCCACTTTTTTATGCAGCCTAATGTCAATGTAAGGAAGCCTGGTTTGTCTATATAATTCAGTCATTGACTCTGTGTTCTTTGTGATTCCTCCATAAAAATGCTGGGGGTGATTTCTAATTTTTGTCCATCTAAAGACCTTTGACTTTGTGTTCCTTGTGTTTTTCATATTCTTCAGTTCAATTTTTTATTCATCATCCAATTTTTACACTTCTAGTTTCTATTTGATTTGGGATCTGTAAATTTCAAATCTGTTCCTCAATAAGGAGATTAAGGAGATATAGTTGTTGTACCTCATTATTTCCTTTGGAAATGTTACATCTCTTTAGGGGTGCCAAAGACAATAGGAGATTGGCTTTAGATCTTACCCATTTCATTTGTTATATAAGTTTTTATACTGTCTAGGTGAAATCTATGAGAATCTTATGAAAGCTCTTTCATTGAAGTTTTTTGGATGGGGAATGAAGAATTAAACGACATTTATTTACACATCTTGATTTGCCCTATATTAATTTTTTCACATTGTGGAATGGTTTATCACTTTATGCCCCCTCCCCCTTTCAATTGGCATTGACACATTATGTTTTCACAAGTGTAGTGAAACCATTAGCTGATCATCTACACATACTCAATATCAACTGTCATCACTACATGGACTATCCTCAACCCTGTTATTTACTGGAATTTCCCCTACTACTCTTGATTACTTTCAAGCATGGTTCATTCATGAGTTTCTTACTGTAGGTTCCACTTTTCTTCTACCTGTTTCTGATCTGGATCTTTTCACCAATACCTCTGTCCTCTCTGTTGGGAGTTATTGTCCTTGTATATTCTACCCAATAGCGATTGTTAACCATTTCCAGGGTTTCTATGATTTTAAATAATTGTGACTTCAAAACAAGCAATATAAAAAAGAAAGACAAAAATATTAGATACAAATCCTTTCTTAAGTGTTGAGAATGTGTATTTATATCAATTCAGTCAGTTTGGCCTCTTGCATGTTCTTTAACCTCTGCATTTTGTCTAGGCAACCCAAGTATTTCTATATCACCCAACACCCCTGTTGACAAGTCTAAGGATATTTGAGATTGAGAAATGATTTGGTTATAAAAAAATTATCATGATATCTCCTTCTAATCCAGTCCATACTCTTGTATGCCACATATATCTCTGCATTTCTCCTAAACTAGAGGGTTCCATCTTGTTGCTAATGGTGCCTCAGTGGGTATTTTTATCACTTCTTTGTGCATATCCTTGCATGGCATTAGAGATATTGGAAATGAGACAATCAATAGATGTCTCAGCTCCAACCAGGATGGGGATTATCAATGTTTTTATTATTATTTACTTATTTATTTATGTTTTGTTGTATCATTGCACTGTACTTATATTTTTGACCCTTAGGTGGCCCAAGGGATTGATTTGGTCTTTCTTTGGTTCTTCTTCAGTAGTCATTAATTTTGCTGGTTATGTGACTCACTGGCCAATTTTGATATAGATGAAGTGGGGCTACTGCTTCTGGGTTCTTTCCTTTCATAATACATGTCCGAGTTGCTCTCCCAAGAACCTTCCACTGCAGGAGAAGGACATAGTGTCCCTCCTACATGTATATGTCTTGCTGTTGGCTAAACATCTTTTATGTGCATTGTCAACATGCACACACACTAATCCCTTTGCCTGAATCAAGGGGCATCATGGGTGAAGAGGTATTCTACTGAGAGGAATGCCTTCTTTCTGAGTGTCCTTTATGTCCAGTCCGCTCATTATCCCTTTAATCCAGTTCTGCAAATTTTCTGGTTCTGTATTCTATTCTGACTTGACTTTAATACTTATATCTTGTAGTCTTAAATGGTTATTTCTTTTTCTTCTGTTTCTTTTCATGTTCATCTGTTCCCTTCCCCTTTCCAGTGTTTGTGTGTGTTCTGGCCTTTAGTATTTCAGATTTAAGTCTACTTGATTTGAAACTTACATTTTAAAATTAAAATGAAATTCAAACAAATACTTACCTCTGAAATACCTTACCTTTTGCCTCCCAACATCTAAATTTGCATCATGAGCACAACTTTCAATAAAATCTAAATTATGGTTGGAAAGCAGAGTTTATGTAAGATTCCCTGGCACTTGCACAACAAGTCACGTGGAAGGTTGGGGAATATATGGGGAAGTACTGCAATCCAAAAAGGACACTTGGAAATTTGAGCTACATTTTGTTGACAACATGATTTCAAATTCAGCAAGAATTGCTTACAGTATTTCAGGGTAAGTACCTGTTTGAAATTAATTTTAATTCCAACAGTGTGAACTTTGAAGTTATAATTATTTGTTATCATTTCTTCCAGTTTGAATATACATTAACCTGTGCAATATGTATTAGAACAAGTTCCAAAAACTTGCAGGTTCTTAGAAGACATTCACAGGTAAAATACAGTTTATTAGTATTAATAGTTTGATATTTTAATGATTCTTGGGTAATTGTGTTCATCTAAAAACTGTTTGTAATTGATTCTCTTGACGACATCCATATACCTTTAAAAAATCTTATTGTCTTATCCATATCTTTTTTTAGATATCTTGGTATTTTGTTTGCAGATTTCGTAAATTTTTAATGCCACCCTAATCAGAACCTTATGCAAAATATTGTGTAAATTACAAGTTTTGAAACTACCATATGCATTTATGACATGCAATTGTGTTGTTTGGTTTACAATTTTTTTTTTTTTGATGTGTTGTTTTTTAGTAATTATTGTAATGTGTACTGGTTCACAGAGTACAAGGTGTTTCTATGTGAAAAGTAAATGAAAATTATGAAAACATGCTGTTTGTACCCTATTCTGATGAGCTTATATGTTAGTTGCTGGTCAATTTCAGGTCTAAATTGTCCAACCTTGCCATATCTTTATTAACTCTCCATATGAGCTTGGTCATTTTGACCAACCTTACAACCACCTGGTACTTTTAATGTAGTGTGTGTATCTTCACAAAGTTTGGAAAGTTTTAGTAAACATTACAAGTCTTTTGTGCCCAAACAATCTGACTGAGAATCTGACTAGTCTGAGTACAAGGTGATTTTTCTGTTAAGGTTAAAAAATATGTCTTTCATCTTACAGTTTTCAAATTTCTATGCATAACCTCTAGTTTTTTCTATAAAACTTTATATTTGTTACTTTATCTAACACTATACAGACTTGGCCCATTTGATCTACCATCTAACCAACTCAAAAAGTATGAAATAAAGCTAAATTAGTATTTTTTTCTTTTTAAAACGACTACAGATTGTAACAGAAAATTACAGTTAGTTATCCTAAAATATTGAGTCCTCTATCCTTCTCACAACTATTTTAATTTAATTATATTGTTTTATTGCTCATTGATCTGTGTCTGTGTACTAATCTTTCTTTTAAAAAAACTAATTCATGCAGCAACCGCATAGCTCAAGTTGCATAAATTGATTATGTAATTCATGAACAGCTGATGTAAAGACCTTGCTGAGAATTTCTATCTATTATCTTATGTAAGATTTTTCATATGTTTTTCTGCAACTTAGTTTATAATTCTGACATTTTACTTACTTTTATAACAATTTATCAAAATATACATAAAAACAAGTTTAATACTTATGTTTAATCTTGTTTTTTGTTGTTGGCTAGCTGATGACACTGGTGCCTTTTTTTTGTTGAATGTGGACTTAGTACTGTAATTGTGGGGTAGAAGTAACATGTTTTTCATTAGGTGGTCTGATCTAATGTGTAAAATTTCCATGCTGTCAGTTGATAATGAGAAAAAACAAGTATTACGTGTAATAGGTATAAGTACTTTTCACAGGCCACTTGCACTTTTAAACAGGGTTTGCATTTGGTGTGCATATTCTTAAAAAGGCTAAGGCTGATAATGACATATTTTGATGCACCTGAAGAAAAAACTCAGCAACAAATGAATTTTATAAGTGGTCGTAGACTTGTAATACTTCTTAATAAAACTTTGTAGATAATTATTTAACTTTAGATTACCCAGTATAAATGAACATCACCAGTTATAACCAATGAAATATGTCATCCAAATTATCAGTTAGTGAAATTTGTAAGAAATTTTGTTTTTATATATTTGTACTTGTAAAATTTTCGTTATTTGTATTTATACATATTAATAAACATTTTTCAGAGAGTTTATGCCTCACCTAGTAGAAGGAGTATGGATTGTAAAGGAGAAGGTGAAGAAATATCATATCCAAATATATTTTTTATGGTAGATAATTATGATGAGGTGAGTTTACTGTGATGTAATATGGAACAACTATGGTATTTAGAATCTATAATTTGTTTCCATTTATGTTTTGGTCATATTGGAGTGGTAGTTTATGAGTAGCTCGAAGAATGTGAGATTTATGAACTTTGTATAATGAGGTTATTGTACCACATGAAGCATCAGAAGATAAAATGGAAGATGAGCTAGAGCTATGGCTAAAAGCCAGTAACAGGATTAGTATTCAAATAGTATACATCGAAATACAAAAAAATAATTTTTTACAACTATTTTGGGTCAGTAGAGTCCATGACTGCTTCCCTTTGTTGGAAAGTTGGTGGGGGAACAAAGTCAGATAACATAGCTGTTAATATTAATGTATGTACACCAACTGAAAAGTGAGGATAGGTCACATGCCTCTTCTGCCATATGTGTTAGGTGATTCTGATGGGGTCAACAAAAGAAAGATGGCAAACATTTACATTTTTTGCATAAACAAACGAGTATAAAAAGTCACTTTAGCATGCATGACCCTAATTCTAAAAGAATTTAATCTAGATTGTAACTGTGTTTCAATGTTTTGACATTTTTATAGATTATTTTTAGAAGAAAAAAGGAATCTACTACTGGAAAAGGAAAAAAAAAAGAAGTGGAAGTTTTTCATAATTCCCTATAATGCCAAATCCCAGTGCTGAATGTTCAAATAGTTTATATGAGACAAACATCTTTATACAGTACTCCATGATATTAAAAAACTCTAAGTAATCCAAGTTGAGGAGGAGTTGAAATACATGAGTGAAATGTCAAGAAACATACATGAGCACAATGAGGCAAAATGATATGGTACTATAAATGTGATATAATAGGTGAATTTGGATTACTGAAGAAGTGTTTTCTTGTGTGTGGTTTTCTTTTATTTTTGTTACATGTTTTATAATTTGATAAATGAATTTCCTTTTACTTGGAAATACGTTTAGGGTTAGTACCAGTGGCTAAATGGTAAAATATTTCTTGGTTTATTTCTTTATGCTAATTAAATGCTACACCAAACTTACCTGTGGCTAAGAAATTCAAATCAGCAGTAGATATTTTCTTTAATCAAGATTGTAATGCTTTTAAGTAGAAAATAAGAAACAAAAAATAGATAAATAAATAGTAACAACAAGAACAAAAAAAAAAGACCAAGACATGTGAAATGGTATAGTGGTCATTCAGAATAACCTTTATGTATCCAAACTTATTGCCATATAAAATTTGTTTCATACATTTAGAAATAATAAAATATAGTTGTATACATTAAAACTCTTCATAAAAAACCTAAGTTTATGTTTTACATTCACCATACTGTATTGTTTTTGTTTTTTCCAATGTGATTACTTTTTTTTATTGACATTTAACTCCTGTATGTCGACTGCTTCTCAACTTTTATTGCTTAGATACTTGGTAAGTCATGAAATACTGTATGAAGATGTTTCTCAGTTAAAAAATAGTTTCAATATTTAAAACATCAGATTTAAGAGTATGGTAAGTTATGAGGAAACTTCATTTTTTAAAATACTTTTTTATTTGTAATTTCTTTCTTTTTCAGAAATAATACTGTAAAGAAGTCAAAATATTCAAGTGGAGCATTACCTATATGAAATTCTCTTATATTTAGTGATCAAACATACGAAACTGACTTATTTACACACAACAGCTACCACTGTTTGTAAATGTTTACCATTTTGTTTCTGTTGACTTCATTAACCTGAAATTGATGTAAAAAAAATCCATTTTTCAATGTATCTTAATAAGATAGTATTTGTTGATAAAAGAGTAGCCCAAGAGTTGGCGGTGAGTGGTGATGACTAACTGCCTTCCCTCTAGTCTTTCACTGCTAAATTAGGGATGGGTAGTGCAGATAGCCTTCTTGTAACTATACTCAAAATTTACAAAAAACAGTTCTTTTTTGAAATATTTCTTAAACTAAATGTTTCAAGTGGAATATACAGTGTAATGTTTCTGTACAACTCAAGTGTTTTAAATATACAATAAGCTGTTTTTTTTTCATAATGCTACTTTTCATATCGAACTTTCAATAACTTAGAAATTATTATAAGTTAAAATATGTAACAGGTTAAAGGTAATAACTTTAACAAGAAATGTCTTTATTTTCTAACAGCTGTAAAATAAAATTTATGCATTACCTAATTCTTTCTGTATATTAACCCTCTCCAGATGGGTCAAAGGCCATGTCATCGAGTTTGTTGACTTGCATTCAAAATTTCATTGAACTACTATTTCATGAATTTATGTCAATAAGTTTGGTACCAAACTGTAGATTAAAATTAAAAATTCTAGTCTTATACATTATTTAATTTCTTAATTTAAAAGTAGATATTAAAAAAAACACAGTTAAACATCAATTTGTGTGTTTCACATGGTATGTTAAATGCAGCACTGGTTCAAATTAGATGTTTGTGATGTCAAAATACTAAGTCTATAGTTTTGTATGAATTAGGAACTCAAATTACAGATATTGACAAGCTAGAATATAAAATAAGAACCTCCTATTTTTTCTATTTGCGGAGATATCACTCATGCATTGAATCAAACACCGTGGCCCCACTCGCCTCTTTCCATTTTTGGAAATGGTTTCCATTTATACACTTACTT